TGGTACTGGATGATGTGTACTTATACTTGATGCTAGAAGACACAAATGTAGTTGATACTTGCCTGTGTGACCCCAACACGACATTCGATGCACATGTGTGACTACCCACCTTTCGAATCTTAAATAGATTTGTTTTACCCCATTTTGACGATCTACAAATCCAGCTACAACCTTCTTGTGAACACCTCACAACATATTCTTTCTTGTCAGACCGTTCAACCATAAACTCAAACATGTTCTGTATGGCAAAAACTGATAGGCTCAATTTTAAAATTTCTTTATCCCGGAAAATCCTTCCTTCTTCGACCTCTCTAGCATCTGCAGCAGACACAACTGTGATTTCGTTGTCCCAAATGTGACCTGATTTTTCAATTGCTGCTCTGCATATGTCTGTCGCCATATCCTGCAATGTACAAAGCTCACCACTAGTAGAAGGGTTAACCGGAACCGTATTAGAAGGTTTTTCTACTTCTGAATCAGTCACATCAACAATTACTGGGTATTTAGCAGGTTCGCGTTCCATTTCCTTCAGATTTAGAAGGTTTTTCTACTTCTGCATCAGTCACATCAACAATTACTGGGTATTTAGCAGGTTCGCGGTCCATTTCCTTCAGCAGAAGGTATGATTGCACATTTCTGTCATTTTTTATCGAGAATGCCGGCAAATTATCATTCAGTACATACGTCAATGACACTGCCACCCTCGTCGGATCAAAACTAAACTCTGTCATAACCGTGTCAACAAGGTTTACATAATTGCATCTACGGTCTACCAAAGCCAATGACGATTGAGCTCCATGCAACAGACATACATGCAAATACACCATTTCTGCGACTTCAAATTCATCAGTTAATAAAGGCATTCATGATTTAAAATGAAGGCACATCTCCAAACAAGTCACATATGACAAAAAATTGAAGGTGACATTGGGAGCCGCACAGGTCACGTTCATCTACAACCATTATCTATTTGGGTGCTGTGACATTATGGTCACATTCTCTAGCAGCCTTTCAATATTTGCAGGTCACAGGTCGATCATGCATTGTAAGAGATAGCTATTATCATGTCACGGTTCTTATGTGTTCACAGTTTGGTCACATTTTGTTGCTTGCTAGTTCTTAGTTGTTCAGTCACGGTCACATATGTTTTCTCACTCCACAAATCAACAAAAACAGGTCACAGGACGATCATGCATGGTAAATAATATCTAGTATCAGGTCACAGAAAATTAATTCAGTAAATCTGAGAACTCACATTAATCACATTTCAATATTTTCAGGTCACGGGCCGATCATGCATTGTAAGAGATAGCTATTATCATGTCACAGTTCTTATGTGTTCACAGTTTGGTCACATTTTGTTACTTGCTAGTTCTTAGTTGTTCAGTCACGGTCACATATGTTTTCTCACTCCACAAATCAACAAAAACAGGTCACAGGACGATCACGCATGGTAAATAATATCTAGTATCAGGTAACAGAATGTTAATTCAGTAAACCATTCGAACTCACATTAATCACATATATCTAGTATCAGGTAACAGAATGTTAATTCAGTAAACCATTCGAACTCACATTAACAGAATGTGACTTACGTTTTTGGCCGGACACAATCAGCTATTACGTGACCAGAATTGGATTTTGTGGATGAAATCGTTCAATTTGAGTGAAATCGTTCAATATACGTGACCGGAACTGGATTTCCAAATCTGTGACGCGAAGCATGAATGTGGGTGAAATCGTTCAGTCTATGTTCAAAATCAACGAAACAAATCACCTGTTTCTGGTCTCCGGCGGCGGAAATAGGTTACAGTGCCTTCAAATTATGAATTTCAGACCTCAATTTAAGTTTTGGAAATTTCGAATGTAGTGAGAGAGAGTCGTGATATGAAAGGAAAGAGAAATCTATATATAAAAGGAATATATATATATACCTGAATTCTGAATTTATAAAGTAGGCACCTGAAGTTTGAAGAGGGGTAAAGTTGGCACCTGAATATTGATTTTTTCCCCCCGCGATTCCGCAGCTCTTGGACCTGGCCCAAAGCCCTTGGAATTGTACTTTCTTCTCTTACTCTTCACCAAGGGAACCTTCCTCCATGATTATTACATCACCAAGCTGCTCCACCCAAATTGAGTATTACAACACTCAGCTGATCCATCCAGGAATCGAACTCCCCACCCTGAGGTTGCAAGCCCGGCAGTCCTTATTGGTTATTTTAAACCTAGTCCACTTATTGGTTATTTTAAACCTAGTCCACTTTATGATTCTTGATGACCTTCGCAAGGGAAGCTGTCTTTTGGCAGTTCAGGTTGCAAAAATGCATTGTGAATGAGAAATTTTCTACAAGAACTGGGTTTGCAACAAGTAAAATATATGTGGTTTAGTGTGAAAGTCAGAGCGCTATTCACCTTTCTACAAGAATTGGGTTTGCAAAAAGAATTGAATCATTCTAGATCTAAGAACACTGACATTAGATATCACTGGACTAAGGATGTACTAAAGCAAAGTAGATGAACTTTGAGATTTTCCATACTAGTGAGAATGGTTCAAACGTTGACATAATCATTCCCGGAAGAGAAGCTTGAAGCTTTTAGGCAGAGAACGGACTTAGTAGAGCCCATAACATGAGGCAGAGGTAGAGTTTGTTGGGTTTCACCCCATTAGTGGGCTGGAACAAAAAGGTTTAAAACATAATATCACAGAATCCTCAACACATAAACGGTCATAAAGCAGAAGTGCTCGTTTTAAAGACATTCCTACGTTACAGAACATTCACATGAAATCTAGAATGCTTGTAAAAGGTCATAGTTTGACAATGATTGGACATTTCAACCTGACGGAGAGTTTGGGTGCAACCATCTATTCAGGAACTCAGAATATTTCAACATGGCATAGAGTTTGGGTGCAACCATCTATTCGTACGTTACAGAACATTCACATGAAATCTAGCTAGAATGCTTTTAAAAGGTCATAATTTGGCTATGATTGGACATTTCAACATGGCGGAGAGTTTGGGCAACCATCGATTCGGGGACTCATAATATGGTGATGAATTCTTTATCTGATATTTCATGATTTAATGTGAACTATCACCTACATAAAAGATAAAAGGTTCCATTAATTGAGCTGAGAACTGAGTTTCAATATGTGGAAAGTTGTCTTAAAGGTAAAGGTGGCGATGTTCATTCAGTGATTGGTAGCTCATCAAGTTCCAAGTCGAAAATCAGACTCGAAGGAAGAGGAAAAAAGTTAAACAAAAAGCATGGGAGCAACAAAAAGTCCAAAGCAAATGGAAAGCGGAGCGACAAGTGTTCCAACTACAGTCGAAAAGGATACCGAAAGAAAAACAGCCATTACGTACTAGCTAAGAATTAGGATGCGCGCAGATTAGGTTTTCATTGCTGAATATTGTTTATTGTTGATTCTACAAATTCTTGGGTTGTAGAATCTAAAGCCTTATATTTTTATGTCAACGCGGGAGCTTCAGGATACCATAAAAACCTCAGTAAAGGTAGCATTGAAATCATTGTTGGCAAAAAACGTAGGAGTATTTTATTCAATAGTGCTAGGAATTTAATTTTTAAAAACTATTATCATGTTTCACGGATAAAGTGAAAATTTGATTTATGTTTTCGATTTAATAAGACGGTGTTATTCTATAAAATTAGCTTCTGATACGCTTTGCATTTTAATGAATAAATTTCCTATTTGTGATAGACATTTGATGAATAGTCTTCATATTTTGAATGTTCCACAAAATGAAATACATGTCACTTTTACAAACTATAAACGAAAGTTGTACCATACTAGTGATACATACCTATAACATCTTAGATTTGAATACATTAACCTTAATAGGAAATAAAGAATGGCAAGAGATGGTCCCCTTAATACGCTTAAGGTTGAACAATTGTCGGTTTGCAATTCTTGTTTGAAGAGTAACATGTCCCAAGAGATCATGTAACGCCCCGAACTTAAGCTTCGAGTATCACATACTAAACATAATAACTTTTGACTTTGCTACATGTAAAAACTCTTAAATAAAATGTAATACATACTGGAAACTTATTTTCAATTTATAGTAAAATATCTCTGTAAAATTTAATGGCTAGCAGAAGTGCATGCTGACCTAAAAATATTCCTTACATATACAAACTCAGTGCTGTCACAGCTAATTAGGACAGCCAGTTTAAATCTTTTTATAAAATTCATCCCAACTTCGTTTTTTATGAAACCTCCAGCATTTGAAAGATATTTTCAAATAGTTTCCTATGTTAAAATATGGAAAATTTTCAAAATACTATGATATAAACGTTTTACTAAAAATAGTGAGATATTGCACAGAAACTTCAGATTGACCTTTCGACGCTTAAAAATTTATAACTCAGACCACAGATATCCAAATTGAGTGATTCTTGTGCTCATATTAAGACAACTCAAAGAGGAACTCAGAAGTATTTTTAGAGTTTCCAATAGGTGTTTATAGAGCTAGTAATAGCATTTTGAATTGACCCTAAAAACCTGTTTAGTTTCTGTTTCTTAGCATAACATGAAAGATATGATTACAAAATTTACTTCCAGTACCATATTACATCATATCTTATACATGTTTATATATAATACCACAAGAAAAACATATGAAAAACAGTCTTCGAGCAAAACATACGAACATGAAATTTCGATACAAAATAACTTTGTCCTTAACCCATTATCGAGTATACCGACTGACTTCCATCAACTCAACGATTATGAATCTGAAAATTTAGTATAAAATACTATCAGTATAAAGTATACTCAGTAAGATACCATGCTCGGATTTAACATGTTAATACTACACAAAAGAAAGCATTCAAACACATACTTGCACATCCCGGCTTCCCGGTGCCTTTCTGACTTGTCCTAAGGCATAAATATATATCTAACTTTGTGGACTTGTCCACAACTTTTATATTATGGTTTTCATGCATAGCTTAAGTATAAATATTACTATGAAATCCTACCACTTCAGCATAGAAAGTATCATTAGGATGTCTTCAAAAAGCCTCCAACAAACCAGTGAAATCACCATCATTCTTCTCTCTTCTTCCTTCATAACTCGTGCACTAGCTTCACATAAACACAGCTCTGATCCAGTACAAATCAATATGATCTCAGGTAAGACATCACATGAATTATCACTGATGATGTAACCACCCCTTTCAACTGCATCTTCTGATGTTCCTTCCACACATGCCGTGACTTTTTGCCTTGATAGAGCGATAAGGCTGGGCTCGTTCCAATGTGCAACATCCACTCTGTAGGCTTCTGCAGTCTTATTGACATCAGCACGTCAGAAAACCATTAGGCGAGGCACATCTCGAAGACCAGTGAGTTGCTCGATCAGTTTGTGAGTTAGCCCATCTTTTCCTAAATCGATCGAGTCATAAGTCATATTGTAGAGGACACCGGCATCGCTTATAGTGGATAGCCGGATGGAGTTCTTCACGTAGTCTAAGAAAATGAAAAAAAGTTGCTGCAAAGGGTATTAAACGACCACCGTGCAATACGATGCCATTTGATATCACTGAAGGGATGAGGAATGATGAAGTTACGATTTGGGAATGAGTGATACAAAGAGTAATTTATGGATGGATTTGAGAATTTGATATAATTAATTGAGATTTGATTGATGATTGAATAATACCCGTTAATTAATTGTAGGATAACAAGGAGTTAAGTGGTTTTTAAATTTTTAAATTATACTACTATAATACTATTACAGTATAAATGGAAAATATATAATTGATTATTAAATTTTGAATATTTTTTTTTGAATATGTAACTGGTGTAATTTATTCTAACACATAGTCTACACCCATAACCCATCCCCAAAAGTAAAATCCTAACTGCAAAGGGGTTACATATCCTGGCCAACTTTCGACAAGCCACATAGATCTCCTGTCTGGACGCATTTAGAGGTGTCAATCCGGGTGGTCCGGGCCGGGTCGGCCCGCCAACATGTGAGCCCGGTAACGGCCCGCGTGAAAAAAAGCCCGCCCGCTACGGGTTCCGGGCCGGTTACGGGTCGGCCCACAATTTTGGACTACAACCCAGGCCCGCCCGCTGACCCATCCGGGTCGAGCCCATGCGGGTCACGGGTCGCGCGGGTCGCG